TGGGACTTTCACGATGGGGGTTGGTGGGCGTCCCTCAACACCACCCATTACTGGTTTCCCGAAGCTGACTTATTGGTAGTATTCTTCTTACACTGACTCTGCATATGTTTCTGCTCTCCACAGTTCCAACAACCTTTCTGGGTAGTAGCCTTTCCTGCCGTGGCATCTTCCCTGTGTTGAAGTTTCCAGCATTGAGCTTTCTTGTGCCTAGGTTTGTTACAGTGCCAGCAAAGTCCCTCAAACCTCTCTGAAAGCTGACCTTTTCCGGCCTTGAATCCTGATGACTGTACCAACCTTGGTCCCTCTGTGCTGGACTTAATGTAGGATTCTGGCCATCGCATCCTGCATGGTAGAGGGGTGTGCTTGCTTCACTTGTATCTTAAGTTGTGGACTGTCCAAGGCATCTAGGAACTGATCCCTCAGCAACAACTTGAGGAGATCAGGTGGTGCAGTTGGGTAGGCCTTGTGTGTCATGCTTTCCAAGTCCTGTGCCAGCTCTTGCAGGCTCTCCCGTTTAGCACTGACTCTCGTCCTGAACCTGGCCCTGTAGACTTCTGACTGATTTTGGGTTCCGTACCTGAGTTCTAGAGCCGACACCAGTGTTCTATAGTTGTGCCTGTCGTCTGCTGACAACTGTCCAAGTATTTCCAGTGGTTGCCCCTTCAAGCTCGTTGCCAGATATACAGCTTTCTGCTCCTCTGTCCATCCATTCATCTCCGCCAGTAACTCAAACTGTGCTCTATATGCTTCCCACGGTGCTTTCTCATCGTATTCCTATGGCTTCCTTCGTACTGGATCACTCCTAGTACTGACATTCATATCTGGGATGTGACTTCTAACAGGGCTGATGATGTCTGCATTAGGGTTTAGCTGCAAAGTCTGGAAGGGGCTTGTCATTGTCTGGGGCTGGTTAAGTCGATGGTTAATGTATCCTCCTTGTGTAAAAGGACAATAAATCGTCCTTTAACGTATCTAATTCGCTTTTAAATTTACTAATGTTTTCCATTTGTTCTTCTTGCCACTGTTGTAGTCTCTCTTCTTGTTTGTTTTTTCTCCTCCAATAGCTGTTGTAATCTCTCTTCTTGTTTCTTTTCTTTTCCTCCAACAACTGC